GGATTCTATTTATATGTAGATGAGTGCAAGAGACGCAACTCATACCTTCAGTGGTCATTTGCCTTTATTTTGTACCTACATAAATGCCAAATCGCAAGCGAGCGGAGACAGAAGGGCTAGCCATTCGCTTGCGGGTAGTTAGGACTGATGAGCGCTCATAATAAGCCACTCCCCTGATTTTTTCGAGCGCAACAGTTTCCAGCGCATAAAATGGTAAAGGCCGAGGTCGTACACATTGACGACATTGACCAATGCACGGTATGGTATGACACCCAAAGGCCAGTCATCAGAGATCTGCTTTGGGCATTCGGAGGCTTGTGTGGGGCCAGTGTAAAAACTGGATGCTCACAGTTCAGTATCCGCTTTATTTCAGTTTTCACTATTAAAAAAGTAAAAATTTATGTTGGAAACTTTTGAGGGTAAGGCACTGATCATTAGTGCCAGTGGCCCCCCCCCTTCTGTCTAAAGGCTGACTATAGAATAAAGAGCATCAAACACGAACAGTAGCGGCGGAACACCTTCAATTAAGGGGAGGGGGGGGGGGGCACTGCCGACTTTTGGTCCCATTCTTTCCATGCAACGTCCATAGGGCCAACGTAAAAATGCCAAAATCAAAGGGGGGCACGGTGCCCCGGTGCCCTCCCCGTTCCGCCGCCTATGAACAAGAAAGCAAAATCTGAGGCATTTTGGAAAAATGAGTATGCCCCACAGCGTCCGATAACTACCACCTTCCAGTGGGTCAAGCCAACGGGGACCAAGTCTATAATGGCACTTAACGATAGCACTAACCTTGTCTCACTTTTTGTTGAAGTCTGTTCCGAATGGTTTCGGCCACATGGACTGGCTGCACTGAGGTCGTTTGGTATGTGCAACTGTAATTAAAGCCGGTTCTGCGACACCTGAGCGAGCGTCATTTCAGCGAACGACATTTGAGCGAAGCCTTTTCAGCGATTATCAATTTAAGCGATTGACTTTTTCAGCGATTGTCAAGCCGGCGAATTCAATGACAGCGATGATCAGCTTAAGCGAGGACCAGAATAAGCGAAACCAGGTTGAGCGAATATATGGAGGTCAATGGGGACCAATTAAGCGAACACAGTTACAGCGAAACCGAACGCGACGGAAGTCAATCATTTGCTACTTTTCGGGAATTCTTGCCCTTGGAATAGGTACCCGCTTGGTGTCATGCTTCAAGCTGCGCGCGGCAAATTAAAAATTTGCTTTTAAGCTTGGAAACCACAAAAATATCTGGCCTCATTCTGCAACCTTGATCTGGAAATGTGGAACGTGAGAGAAAGGACGATGGAAGGAATGCCAAGGACCAATAATAAACTCGATGGATGGCACAGGGGGATCCAGTCTATGTTTCAGGGACCTCACCCAAATATCTGGAAATTCGTACGTTGATTGGGGCAAGAACAAATTTTACAACATGGCGAACTGATCTGATTCAAATTCAAGCGGGGGAATTTCGCAAAAATCAGCACAAGCAATATGAATATCTGAGCAAACGTTTGGTCATCATTATTGGCAAACGGCGGGGGGAGGGTGAAATCGAACCGCCGGATTTTTTTTTTAGAAATGTGGCATTAAATTTGGAGCTTAATGTCTGAACTTTGAACGTGACATCCGCCATCCAGTTCCGGATAACCATGAAAAGTTCCGGAAACATTCTTTGTACGTACGCTCGCAAAAAAAAAATACACCGTTACGGTACGATGAAGTGTTTCGCTGAAATGACAGTCGCTCAAACTGTAGTCGACGAAAAAGATGTCGCTGAAACATAGCTTTCGCTTAAATTGATAATCGCTATATTTGATAATCGCTAAATTTGATATTCGCTTAGTTGCCAGTCGCTGAAAATGGTTCGCTCAAATGACGCTCGCTCAAATGACACTCGCCAAAGTCGCTCGCACCGATTAAAGCCACCTGAGGCACCCTGACACCAGGCTGAAGCTGGGTTGGAAATGCTTCGTCTTTGCAGATATCACTGGCCGCTGATTCTCGAGTGCCTGAACCGGTAGATGTGACAAAATTTAGTGTGATAATTTGGACCTTACCGCAGTCAGCGCACCCTAAAGCCCTAATAAAGAAACGCCCTACCAAGAGTTTCTGGCAGCTCCGTTCCATCGCTTCCATCCTCAGTACACATAAATCCTTCTCCTCCACGCCGCAACCCCTACTCCGGGCTGGGCAGGCACCTTTACCTCATGCGGGCTGCTCCCTTGGAGCGGCACCACTGCTCTCGACGGAGCGCACCCCGTAGCCGGGTGCAGAGAGTGCTTGGGGGGCTGATCGGCCTGTCCTTTCGGGCGGGCTCAGCCCCGGCGACTCTCCAGGGTGTCAACCCAGACCAATGTCTCCCCCTAATTCCTATCATCCTTCCGGCCCTGAAATGGTCTCGTCAGACCGAAAGGTCCTAACCCAACAAAACAACATAAAACAAAACAAAACAAAACAAAACAAAACAAAACAAAACAAGAACAAAAAGAGCTTCTGGATTCTCGTTCCAGTCCACCGTTCCTTCACCCCAGCCCACCGCCGCGCTCCCTCACCTCAGCCCTTCGTTCCCAGCTTGACGAGCGTTTGGGCCTTAGTTAAGCCTTGCTGTAGGCTAACTGTATAAACCCATCGAGACAGCCCGTCTCGGTGAGCTTAGTTGGCGAACCACTGCCTTGGGGAGTGTTTCTGGCGGATCGCTGTCCCAATAGGATGCGACCGACTATCTCTGAATGTTTGAGCGGTCTCCTCCCGCTGTGAGCTAGTTTCATTTGATATCTGTCTCAGAAATACTTTTTAAAGGAAGGTTAAACGGAAATCGAACGTAAAATGAACAGAGGAAATGGTAACGAGTTACCTCATTGAAGAATAGCGCTCGCCTACTTCAAAAGGTTTGGAATCGTTCTTCAACATCTAATATGCGATCGGGTTATGGCACAACTTTTCCCATTAGCGATTTTTTTCTAACACAGCAATACGAAAAGCGTTACATCGTCCACTGGCGGATCCAGGGAGCGGGCATTTAAAGCAAACATTTATTCTCCCTCCCCTGGCCCCTGCATCGCCCGAAATAGACAAAACGTACCTTATGTTTCCTAATAAAACACTTTTTTATCAGGATTTTTTTTTTGCTTAATACTGTTCAGCAGAAGATCAGTAAGGAATCGAAATCCGATGAGTTTTTGGATTTTGGACACTTTTTTGGGGGTATGTCCCCTACAGCGTCGAAAACGCCTTTCTGGATCCGCATATGACATCATCTCGACTGGGATCTTGCCCCCCCCCCCCCACGCCAAAATCGAATCCGCCGCCACTGCTGGTCAATAAGGGAGCGCTCAAAATAATTGCCGAAATTTTCACCCAGGCTAAGGAAAAGAAACCAGTCATCATCATTTTTGGACTTTGTGTATTTAGGTACTTTTTAAGCAACGCGCAACGTTTCCCACTTTCACATCTCACCGCTAACAATGCCAGCGGAGCCATCACCACCACGCGACGTGGTGCACTTATGCACTAGACTTCAGGTGACATTTTTTTTTTATTCCCAGAGCATAGATAACATGAATCATGTTATCTATGCCCAGTGATAAATCAAAACAATAGTATCATTATTGTAAGGCATTTTTTTTTTTAAGAAAAGTTGCTTGAAATGACACAGCAAAATAAATGAGTTTTACAACCTGTTATCGTGGCGCTGTGGGGGAGTTTGACAAATATGGATATTTTAGCAGAGGGACTGATTTTCCGTACACCCCTAACAATACCCGATACCGTCTTCCTGGATTTACCAATGACTCAAATGCCTAGTGAATGTGTTGACTTGCATATACCAGATGCCTACGTCAATGGGTACTTCCTCACATTTTTTTTTTTATCGAGTAGCTTCGAAGCGAACTTCTGCATCGCGTTATGCCTCGTAGTGTCTGTGGTAAGACGCTCTCAGTCTCGGTGGTGCGAATGGTGCTTATTACGCACTATGTCAAACATTCGACGGCGTACATTTAATTGCGTTCATTCCTAACTACGTCATGGATAGTGATTATTCATACTTTAGTTTGTATAGTGACAGAATCGGGTCAGCGAGGCCCATTTCAGACCGAATAAGGGACAGAGGCCTGGTGCAGGCTGGTGCTTTTAACTGACATCAGTTTGATGCAAAGAAGTGTATTCAAAACCGTTTTAAAATTTTCAGTGTGCCTGAGTATGAACATTTGAAGCATTGTGATTCATTTATTATTATGCTGTGTACAAATATTTTTTATTTCAATTAAAAGCTGTCAAAAATATATTGCACTCATTTGCTGCCAATGTTGATGATAAACGGTCGATTGAAATACAGGGCAGGCATGATGACGTATGAAATAGTAGCACAGCAACAATTATATTTCGTATTTCGCTTTTTGATCTGCCTGTCCTAATATTTCAGTCCTTCCGCTGTCTGTATGCAAAACGTAAAAAGACCAGTTTTGATCTCAACCGTGTGCCACCTTTGCGTTTTTTTTTTTTTAAATTTTGATACTCGTTAATGATTAATCGGTAAGAGCCAATGATTTCCCGCAAAGGATAGTTCATAACGTCTCTCAATACCCTTACCCTGGCTGGTATAAGATAACTTTATTCTCTTTTTTTTTGTCAAGGCCGTTGGTCCAGATCGTCTTGAGATATTCCTTCGAATGGACTTTGTTTGATGACTAGCAGTCATTACATAAATATTACGAAAGATTCGATATGCTTAGTGCTCACCTGGTCTATCTGTAAACTTTACGTCCCCAGCGTTATGTCGAGGTGCTCTGAACTGATGTAAGTTTTGCTGTAATGCCCTCTTTGCTTCTTTATTTGCATAACTTTTTAGGTACTGCTTCTTCACTGGAGCTAAGGCTACCTTGACGTGCGCTCGATGTCTTCTGCTCTGCCTCCAGTATAGAGCATGCTGTATGTACCAATGTCGTGTAAGTTCGCTCTTAGTGCATGGTACTTATGCATATATTTTTTATTCACAGTTTTCCACATGGGTGGACGCCGTTATATTCGTCTTCAGTCTGGAGAACGAGAGCAGCTTCAATGCCATCTACCACTACTACAGCAAAATGAACTTCTTCCGAAACACTGCTGAAATACCAATTATTCTTGTCGGTACACAAGGTAAGAGTCTGTGAATCTGGTCAGTGCCATTTCCGTCTGCTGGTGTCGTCATTGTCACACCGCTGTATGGCGGGCGGCGGTGTCCGCCCTCTCACACCGCGTCTGATGTTTGCCGCGGTATCGGTGAGTCGGCTCTGTCTGCTCGGTACACTGAGGGCCCTGTTCCGTCGGAGCGCGGCAGATAGAGGCCGGTTCCGGCCGGTTGCCCGAGTGACGCACCACACACTTCCGTCAGCCGAATGGCGGCACATGCTCATAGAACAGATAATAACCACACAAGGGCCGTGAAGTGTGACCTCAGTCATCACCGCCTTCTGCTTTAGGCTCATTTGACCGTGGTCCTGGGCTCTCATCACAGACTGAGCTAGGCACACGCTGCTGCTTCTCCCTGGCTTTGCTCTCCTCTGAGCCGACGCGTGCCCTGTACTCGCTGACCTGGTGACCTCCCGGCTGACCTGTGCTGACCCCGACCGACCCCCAGACGCCATCAGCGAGACGAACCCTCGCATCATCGACGACAGCAGTGCAAGGAAGCTGGCCGGCAGTCTCAAACACTGCTCCTACTTCGAGACGTGCGCCACATACGGTCTGAACGTCGAGACCGTCTTCCAAGTCGGTGAGTGGGGCACGGGGGTTCGCAGGGTTGGCAGTACCGTGGGGACTGGGGAGGGGATGAATGGGTCTACCGGGCCTTCCGCTGAGGGTGGACAGGGACATAGCTGGCTGTTATCGGAGCTCCGCGATAAGAGGTGGGTGCTTCATCAACTCGATGTGGTAGTGAAGTGACACGAAAGTTTTTGTTGACGGGAATTACAGATGTTTCTTGATAATGTCGGTGCTTCATGTTAAAGAGAGTTATCAGCGTTGAAGCATTATCTGCATTTGGATGCCTAAATATGTGAGACATCACCTGCAATTGAATGATTGCTGTTTGGAATTTCGGTCGCCCGTAACCGGGATAGTACACGACAGCCGTTTATCTCATGACTCATAAGACAGTCAATGAGTATTTTTCCGATCGTGGTCCGGCCGGTCGAGTTACCGGTGTCTTATCGCTGCTGATTACGAACTGGTGTTGATGCCACTGATGTACCGTTGCTCTCCGCCGCAATCGGTTTGTGATTGTGATGCTCCGGGAGCCACGGAATGTTTGCTGTCTCATAGCCAGTGATCGGTCGGTGGCGGTCGGAAGTGAGTGATGCGGTCCGCCAGTGAGACTTGTTGTGTGGCTTGGTGCGACTGCTTTGTGAGCGCGTGAGCCGGTAAGTAGTAAACTATAGTGTAGTGGTAGAGAGTTTGATGTGTCAGGTACGAGTGGCCTTTGTCAGGGAACGAGGGTCGGCTGATAGAGGCGGCCGGTCAGCTGATCCGTCTGTGTTGCCAACTGCCTGTTGTGACGTTTGTTACGTCGTCCTGTTTCATGCCAATTGATGTTAACAGGATGTTCCGATGTTCACTGCCATAGATCACCGATGTTCGGATGTTGAGGACGAGACTCCCGTTGCCAGCGGGCTAGGTATTCCCGAGTGGTCTCCTTTGATGATTTGGCCCTCTGCGTGTCATTTTCCGCCACTCTGACCTGTGTGCTCTCCCTCTGCCGTCCGTCCCTCCTGCTACCTGCGCACCTGAGCTGACCCGCAGCTTAGAGAACCCTCTCTATGCGGCAGCGTGTCAGAAGGTGATCCAGCAGCGGTCGCTGACGGGCCGGCCGGCCGGCTCGCGGCCCACCACACCCAGCCACATGGGTCGCTACCAGTCGGCGGCCGCCTTCCTGCCCAGCAACGGCCACTCGCCGCCGCCGCCGCCGCCGGCGCCCGCCTCCAGCCGCGACAGCCCGCCGCAGCTGCGCCACTCGCAGACGCCCGTCAAGGTGACAGGACGGGCCGGGACCAGCCATCAGCGAGTCATTGGCTCGGAACGACCGGTGCCTGCACTGATGGTCGCCGTCTTTTTCGAATTGCTGTAAAGTATTTTGTTGGCTACCTGGGGAAGCAACTAATTTTAAGTTTAGCTAAGTTTAGTTTAGTTTAGTTTAGTTTAGTTTATTGACATATCATCAACGGGACGATACCCAATTACTAATGAAGTCATGTGATAAAACACTGAAACACTGAAAAAACAATGAAACATTCCTATTTGATGTAGAGTATTCAGTATTCAGTGTACTGTATTCTATAGAGCATTTATTCAGTATGCTATGTTTTCTGGAAATTCATTGGTGAGCGTAACACATCACGGTGGATGTGCTTGGATACCGCCGCTGCGACGTTTTATCCCTACCTCTTGGACCGCGTCCGCACACCTCAGCCCTGACTGCGTCTCTCTGCCGCCGCCAGGAGCTGTCGCTGCGCCAGGCACACTCGATGCCGCCGCCGCCGCATGAGCTGCACATGCCTCCCCCGCCGGCGCCGGCGCCCGGTGCCGTCACCCGCTCTGACTCGCTGCGTGGAGATGACGGGAAGCGGCTGCTGGCGTCGGGCGAGTCGCAGCCGCACCTGCCCACTCCGAGCTCCACGCCCACTACCGGCCGGTGAGCGGTCCGAGGGAGCGGCGGACGCTGGGGTACAGGGGGAGCATAGGGAAGTACAGGGGGAGCATAGGGGGAGTACAGGGGAGCATAGGGGGAGTACAGGAGGAGCATAGGGAGAGTACAAGGGGAGTATAGGGGAAGTACAGGGGAGCGGTGGGACGGTGTCATGGTGCTCACTGCTCAGCCGTCGTGCGATATTGTGTGTGACGATGGTAGATATATGACGCAATCCCTCCCGCTTCTCACCCGTGTCTTTGCGCCACTGCTCTGGGCGCGCTGCTGACAGAGATTTGGATACCCTGCTGACGCTTCTCCTCTGTCCGTGCAGGAAGAACCGGCGCCGCTCCAACCTGTTCGCCCCGTCTCGGAAGGCCGGTGACGAGGAGCGGCGACTGAAGACCGCCGAGCTGGGCAGTGGCCGCGCCATCCCCATCAAACAGGGCTACCTGTACAAACGCAGTCAGAAGGCGCTCAACAAGGACTGGAAGAAGAAGTACGTCACCATCAGCGACGACGGCAAGCTCACCTACCACGCCTCCCTCCACGTGAGTGACCGCCGACGGCTGGGGCTCTGTGGTGTTGTTGCGTAATATGGATGGTGACTCTCGAAACGTTGTCAGTTAGGTTCAGATTATTTTTCGATTTTTGCGTACCTATTTACTGGCCGATGAACGTAAGTAAATTCATTCATTTATTCATTCATTCATTCACTGACTCAATCAATCGTTTTTTTTTTTTACTTACTGAGCATTGTGCAGCAACCGCCGCGCTGACGTCCGGTGCCGCCCTCTGACAGGAGTACATGGAGGACGCGCACGGGAAGGAGATCTGCCTGCAGTACACCACGGTGAAGGTGCCCGGACAGCGGCCCCGCGGCTCAAAGTCCATACCGAACGCCAACAACAACACTCTGGCGGACAACATCAGCAACCTCACGCTCAACTGTGAGTTCTAGTGGAACGGTCCCGTAACGCTGCCCGCCAGGGAGGGGTTAAAGGCACAGCGAGCGGGCGGTGAGGGTGTAGTATGCGATGTCGGAATGGCTGGATTGGAAATCGATGTGACGCCCGATGGTGTGCCAATTTATCCTATCGCATTGACGTAGTTCACAGCTCGACGTAATTTGTTACTGTGACATTACTGTATTGTGATGGCGTAGCGGTCCTGGTATTTGTAATGCCGACCGAATGGACCCCGCATTTTGTCCCGCCTGCTGTTTCACCTATGCCCGCTGTGGCGCTCCCCCAGCGAGCGGCAGTCTGCCGGGGCACACGCGCGCCAAGGACAAGGTGACGCTGACGGCGTATGAGGCGCTGCGCGACCCGGCGGCGCCCGTCGGCCGCGACGAGGCGCTGCTCTCCAACTGCTCGCTCTCGCTGGCGAACGGCGCCGCGCTCACGGCCGACACGCCCAACGTCAAAAAGCGCCACCGGCGCGTCAAGAGCAGCGGCGTGCGCAGCGCCGCCGACGACGTCGACTCGGACGGCTACGAGTTCTCGGTGGTGTCGCTCGACAACAAGGTGTGGCACTTCGAGGCCGGCAGCCAGGACGAGCGAGACGAGTGGGTGGCCGTGATCGAGCAGCAGATCCTCACCTCGCTGCAGGTGAGCGCCGCGCCTTCACACCGGTGGTACGGTACACCTTGACACTTTCAGAGCGCAGCTATTCAAGATCGGCCTACTCAACCCAGGCTGGGGTGGGGGGGGGGGGGGCGGTCCAGTCGCATGAGTAAATAAGTCATGCACGATAACTAGGCCGTGAGGGATTGCGGGGTTGGGTACCTCTGCGCCTGAGGTGCTGGATTGAGCCGTTTTGGAATGACGTGTTCTCAATGCTGCGCCGATTCTGACTGCTGTGTCGCCGCCCGTGTCACAGGGGAACGAGAGCAGCAAGTCCAAGTCGAGGATGAACAGCCTTGTGGACCCTGCCTCAATACAGACCATCAAAAACTCGGTGCCGGGAAACACGACCTGTGTGGACTGCGCCGCGCCCAGTGAGTGGCGGACTCGGCTGTCCTCGACAGGCCTGGGATGCGGCCCCCGGGTCTGCTTTTCGTAATACCTGTCAAAAGTCCATCGTGTTTTCAATGCTTTCATTTCAATCTCGTGCGTTGACCGGTGCTTTTTCAATTAGTGGCATGGATTGAACAACCAAATGAGCTTCGGGCATTTATTAGCGTTTCCTTTCCTTATAATTCCTTATAATCCATCCGCTTATCTAGCGCCCGTTTGAGGCTTTGACCCGTTTGAGGCTTGTCTCACCTGTGAGTGATGTGACCAACTCAAACCTATTATTACCTACTTCTGTGATCGCGGCGCATTTGTGACCTCCGATCTCGGTAACATCCTCTGATTCCTTGTGACCTCCGAACTCTGTGACCTTTGACCTATGGCCATCGCTGACCTTTGACCTCTGTGTCTCCAGACCCGGACTGGGCCAGTCTGAACCTGGGCGCGCTCATGTGTATAGAGTGCTCGGGCATCCACCGTAACCTGGGCTCTCACGTGAGTCGGGTGCGCTCGCTCGACCTGGACGAGTGGCCGCCCGGTCACTTAGCTGTGATGCTGGCGCTGGGAAACACGGCCGCCAACGCCGTCTGGGAGGGCCGCGTGCCGGCAGGTGAGAGCTCGGGGCGCGACCGGCCGTCCAGGGGCGCGACCGGCCGTCCGGGTGGCCAGACAAACTGAACATGAGAGCGCTCGGTGATAGTACGGTAATAGGGTGAGCGGCGGGATATTCATAACGTCATAAATGAATGTGGCTATTGGTTTAGCCCTCTTTGTACTTTGCCGACCGTGTTTGCGTTGCGCACGTTTTTAGTGTATCATTTTGACTTGCATTGTGTGACATGGTGCATTTGTGGATATATCTATTCATACTTCATAGTGTCGTGTAATATCATGTAGCGATTTGTTCGAGCGTCTAATAACTGCTCATGCAGAACGAATGCGTCGTGTCTGTGGTTCAGTGACTTTCGACGCCTGTATCACCTTTTTCTTCGTATTGCCTCTGCGTCATATGAACTTCTGTCCTTTGGTATTGATCACGTTGACGGCAGGCGTCGTTCGCCGGTGCGTCTCGCGACACTGGATAAGGTCATGGGCGCATTCCTCACCTCGGCGCACAGCCTTTCACGTGCCGCTAGTGAGTCACTGGTGTCCACAGCCAACTGACGCGTGAAGACGTTTATGTCGGGGGTGTTGACGGCCGGGTGGACAGCTGACGACTGAGTCAGATTACCAGATGGTGTGTCGGCCCGGCCGCTGCCCACCCCTAGTGTGCCATCCCGTCCGCGCCGGTCCGCGCCGTGTCTGAGCCCCCCGCCTCCCCGGCAGGCCGCGTCCGTCCGGGCGCCGGCGCCGGTCGCGAGGAGAAGGAGCGCTGGATCCGCGCCAAGTACGAGCGGCGCGAGCTGCTGGCGCCGGCGCCGGCGCCGGCCGAGCTCAGCCAGCTGCTGGTGGACGCCGTGTGCCGGTCGGACGTGCGCGACACCGCCCAGCTGCTGGTCCACTGCGCGCCCGAGCACGTGAACGCGGCCGTGTCGGCGCAGGACGCGCGCACGCCGCTCCACCTGGCGGCGGCGCTCTGCAACCTGGCCATAGTACAACTGCTCCTCTGGGTACGTACTCACGGCTCTGTACTCAATGCCCACATTGCAGGGGTTGGCGGGTTAGGCGGGAGCCAGCCGCAGCTCTTGGTTTCCAGCACCGGGGACTCGGGTGGAGGTTACTGTGTCGACCGAGGTGTCAATGCGGCTGTCGTGACTGTCATTCTTGCACAGAGCAGTGTGTGGTGGTGTTAGAATCTGTCTCCTGTTCCCGATAAGGATGGATGGATTCTGAAGGTCCATCGGTCGGTGTGTTTGTGCGTCTCGCCGTCCGACAGGCCGTCATCTGTACACCGTCTAACTCCCTCTCCCCTCTCTCCCCGTGTACGGACAGCACGGCGCTGACGTGCACCGTCTGGACACGGAGGGGCGCACGTGCCTGGCGTTCGCCCGGAGCGCCGGGCCGGCCGGCGCGCCGGTGGCCGACCTGCTGCGCTCGGCCGGCTGTCCGGAGCCGGCGGCACCGGGCGCCGGCGCCGGCGCCGCGGCCGCGCTCAGCCGCCGCCGGGGCAGCCTGACGCCGCGCGAGGCGGCCGGAGGCCTCCTGTAGCGGCCCGGGACCCACCTGCGGACACTGCGCACCGCGCGCCGCCGCGCTGTGACTGTTGGAGCGCCGCCGGCCACCGAGTGCCGCGCGGCCAGCGCCGGCCGGGCGCGGACTGCCGACGGTGCATGCTCTGCTTGGGAAGCTGTCGCGTGTGTGGTAGCCGCCGCCTGAGGCGGAGCTGGTCCTGTCTGTGTGAGCTGAGCGTCGGTCCGACTCAGTCGGGCCGACACTGTAGTGTGGTTACCATCCGGTAGGGGTCGTATTGGCTGCCTGTTTCGTATGACGGTGACGTCGGACGCATAGATATCATCACACCAGTCATCATCAATTCCAAATAACATCATTCTCACCGCTAACTCAACTGTTGTATTTATTGCTGACACGCCAAATAAAGGGCTTTACAACTGTGTGCGTTTGAGGAGGGGTATGACATGCGGATGTGATAAAACGAAATGGGGATGGGCTGTATTAGCTCATGACCAAGATCAATGCATCGTGAGCTGACTCAGGTTAATGACCATTCGGCGATTCTAATCGCGATGGAACATGCAAGAAGACGTCCATGACACTGAACTACCGAACGATGAAAGGTGTCGGGCTGGAGATGCCTAAAGTCCAATTCTGTGTGCTTCTAAATCGAGCCGGACTGATTTGTAGAGGCATTGATTTTAAATATCACAGGTATGGTGAAAATTGGACAGTGTTTATCACAGGTATGGTGGAATTGGAACGGCTAATGTTCTGGCGTTCCATTGTATTCGGGCTTATAGGAATTGTTGACAACTCACATGATGGTAGAGATGACAACTTGAATGTTGTGTGGTTCCCAGGTGCCTTTTACTTATGATTGCAAGTAAATAATATTATATTATTAAAAATAGTGATTATTTTCGAAGAGCTACCTAATTTCTTGTTTAATTGACAATCTTAGCATAGTTTCCTGCACATATTTGGTAGAAAAAAGGAAGATTAAAAACTAAATTCGATAGACAGACTCTACGTCTTCAGGAAACTAGCATCTTTAGCTGGACAATAATATTCCACTCAACGCTGATTGGTCAGCGCGCGCTAGCAGCCGCCAGCTTGTCCCGGCACTTCGCAAAGAACACATACCTTTAGCTGCAGTTCGTGTGCTTGAGGGTGAGTCACGGACGTATAAATAAACTGGACTGACGATCCCAATGGACCTCCTATGGAAGATAGTGAAGCCGACAAGGCGCCATTTTACGTTGCCAAAAACCCGTGCTCTGAAAGGTCTACGAACCATTACAATTGGAATTGCGTCTAAACGGATGATCAGATCGAGATGCTGGTGGTACCGTTCGATGGGTAATGCTTTGAGGCAGGTGATGATGCATGACACAGGTCATTCGGTGTCACGTGGCGCGTGCCACGTGCCGACAAAGTCGGGAAGGGCAAAAACCTTTAAGCGACGCTCCAAATTAAACCGTGGAAGGCACAGGTGCCAAATTCACAGGTCACATGTCCCGGTGTTTGACCATTACCATATGGCATGCTCGGCAGCAGGGGGTGCGGAATGCACGCGCCAGGGGCGAAAAACATGTTTTGAGGATGCATCCTCCGATTCCGGAAAACCTTGACCTAGGCACACCAAATTTGGCACACTGACACTACTGGACGAGCGCTTTAAGGCGCTGTGCAAATAGATGTGCTGGGGTACACGGTGCACGTGCTGTGCACGTGCAAACCTTTTGATGTTGCACTCTGTGTCACATATACGGGCAGAGCGGGTAGCGCTAGCAAGCTCAAAGTGCCAAATTTACACAGGCCACCCAGAATGCATTTCAGCATAGTTATTGAGCATATCTATCTCCTGGTGAACCCCAAAGGTGCGCTCTGCACGTGCAAAAAATTATCCGCGCCGGGCGGTGGGGATGCTTGGACACCCCATGGAGGTTTATGTAAATATCTCGAAAACGGCGTTGTGGAGCGCCGCCGTTTTTAGCACACCCTTTCATGAATCTTTTTCACACATGCTGCATAACTTTCAGACCCAGGTCACTCAAGGTTAGGTCACCAGGTTACGTCCAAGTGGCCTTACCTTAGGAAAAGTTATAATGCCCGTCATAGCTACACAGACTGAACAATCGGTCTAAAACGTTGGCCTATAGTCGATGGTCGATAGTCGATGGTCGATGGCCACCTATGGTCGATGATGACGACAACAACGTTCGTCGGTCCCCCTGGTCGGCTCACCATTTAGGTGCTGATCCATTTGAAAATGGGAGATGATATCACTTTTGCCTACTCCAGTAGGTACCCATCACCCTCACGTGAGGCAAAGGACACAAAACATAGACGAGCGGTGTCGCCTGAAGAAGTTCGTTATGTGCTGGCAATAGCTAGTACCACAGTTTGATAAACAAATCACCAATTATCTCAAAGCAAGAATTGAGAGTAACCGCAGATTGGTTGATACGGTCTTTAAAACGGCAAGCCATTTCTTTTGTCAAATTCGGGCTCCAAAACTTTTAGCTACCCAGCAACGCAAATTTACGCTACCATCGCCCGATAGCGCAGCATAGGCATCTTTGTTTCCACGTTGTTTGCGCCTGTAGTGATACTGTACCGCAGCATATTTACGTCTGGACAACGAGTTGCGTTGGAGAGGCTGGAAATAGTGACGATTTCAGGACCGCAAGAATGGACCGTCATGGGAATGATTCTTTTTGAAACCGTGCACTGTTTTCGGCCGGAATTTAATAATTACTACAAAATATTTTGTAATTACGTTTCCACCAAGAATGAATGCCATCAGGGCTAAATTTTTACTACTTTTGCATTTTGTCAAGAAGCATATAGTGCTGTTATATTGCAGTTATTGCGCGTTTGTTACAAAATATTGGGTCTGTTCCAGCGCCTCCAGAAACCTCCAGAAAGCTCCAGAAAGCTCTAGAATCCTCCAGAGAGCGTTCCAGCGCCTCCAGAAAGCTCCAGAAAGCTCTCGCCAAAGCTCCAGAAACCTCCAGTAGCCTCCAGAGAGTTGGGAGGTCCAAATTTCTCTGGAGGCTCTGGTCTACAATTATGGCGCACATGTGACAATCACGAATGTAAACAAAGGACTTTTGACTGATTATTTTACAACTTGAATGTAAAGAAAATTACATTGCTATAATTTTGTTAATCTTTCTTAATAAAATTGAAAACAAATTTTGCGTTTCAAGAGAGAACAATCGTCATTCTTTTGATATCTGTGACGCCAACCTCCAGAAATCTCCAGATTGCGTTCCAGCGCCTCCAGTGAAACCTCTGGTAGAGCCTCCAGTCAAGAATTTCTACTGGAGGCGCTGGAACAGGCCCATTAAGTGAATAAGCGTCAGTGTTATTCATCAGTGCCAGAAGGTAACTTGAGGGGAAGGTATGCTAATTGCTCTTGTCCATCCACTAGAAGTTATTAAATATTTTGCTTTGTGTATTCCAAAAGGAGAGGGAACTGCTTTATTTGTACCTTCATGTCAGCATTGAAGGTGGATCATTAAATTTTCAAGGCAGTTTGCAAACAAGCATTTGGTCTTTCTCGTATATCAATATAAGCAGTGGCTAAGAAGAAAAGGTTGATCAATCCTGAAGTTCAGTCATTGTACCTCAACTTGGCAGCAAGATCCCCAAGGACAGAGGTTATATTGTATACCTGTCCTGTAAATCAAAGCATTTTTGTGCCTGCAAAGGCTTAAGCTATTTGTGGTGTGTTCGGAGTGAGGCTATATGGCCGTTTTTGTTGTATGTTTATGTGGAGATGGAATATAACTGTGACCCTTTGCTTGTTTGTATACTTACTATGGTCAAACAGGGAACAGCACATTCACATAACATACTTGTCTCGACTCTCACCTAGCGGCTAGCACCTAACTCATAGCTGTACCCTGCAGGATCTGTACTTGTTCATGTCTCGAGCATTAACAAGGCAATAAAGTAGCTTAGTAATCATTTCCCACATTTTCTGAGCATCTAACATGACATACAGCAGTGCAGAGCAGCTTCAGAGAAGAAACTCTTTAAATGCACAGACTCACACTAGCCATCCAATGAGCCAGTTCCTCAGTTGACCATTTCCTTGGATGCAGCTTGGCAAGGTGAGCTAACGATAGGCAAGTTGAAGGTTAGCAGGTAAGGTTGAGTTAGGGTGAGTACCTACCTATAACTGGGTGCTAACTGCTACTGCTATGCAGGTCTTGGGTAGGCTGCAAATATGTGTGACAATTGAGGTTAGGTCAGCTGTCAGGTTATTCAGGTATTGCTCAGGTCACATTTTTATGGACACTTGGCAAATTAAAAAACTAACATAACCTAATCTAAGCTAACCCGACTAAACCTACACAACTGCTGACTATAGGAACTAAGCACCTACCTACTTGTGCCTACATCTCATGCCATGTCAAAACTCAAAGTAGAGTTCCTTGGTGGAAGATTACCCTCAGTACTTTTTATCCCAGCCCTGTGAAGAAAACTAATACTTCTAAGCTCTGAGTCATTGCTGGCCATCCACAGGAAGAAACGCTGAGACTGAGAGCTTTGCAATTGTATATTGGACCAACAATCATGAATCACTATCATGAATAGTGATTCATGAACACATCATATGATCACATCGTTGCATGGATTGTCACATTGTCAATTTTATAACAATCCTTTTTTCAAGAAATACAGTAATGATTAACATCAAAATCAACATAAAGTGGATTTAGTGATCCAAGCTTTCTCCTCCAGTGGCAGTAGCAATGGAATGATCGCATGTTTCATTTGCCAGACACTGAGTACCTGATGCACATTACAATATGCATAGCATCTAAGCATAGTAAAGCTGCCAAAGTCAGAAAGTCCTTTCATTCTAGATTTTTAGCTTGATAGTTAGCACTAATTTATCTTGCTGTTGTAAGTTATCATTCAATATTCATACCAATACATCAATATGCGCTCATCAGTCGACATTTTCTGGCATGATCCTGCTCAGCGCGCTCTTCAGTATTGCTCCAAGATCTGCAATATTATAGCTTGTTTTCGGCCAATAAGCTCTTTTAATTTTACTTTTTTTGCTGATCTATGAGCCCAATCAACTTGCGTCTATCAACCAAAATTTCATAACTTGAAGTTCAACTTGATATTGATATTGCTCAGGAGTCAGGACCTCTGTTGCTGTCAGTCTCCTGGATACTTCGGATTGTTTTCAGTCACATGCTTCTTAAATATGATAAAAGTCAATCTTAAGGGATCCAAAACATCCAACAAAACGACGTACAAGAGTACGGAAACCACCAGATAAACTTAAAAAACGCATTGGAACAGAGCCAAGTGGTGCTCCTCCATTTGCTTGTTTACAATGATTGTAGTGCTGATGTATTTTTAGGACTCTGAAGGTCGGCTTATAAAAAATGAAACGTTTTTAC